TTCATCATCTCCTGTAATTTATTTACCCATAGTGGGAGAATTACAATACCATATATCGTCGTCGAATCTGCGTTGTCCCGTGTTTTTGAAACAGATGGCAATTACCCGGGTGCACTGCAATTTTGTCAGCTGCCGCTACCGGACACCGGTTGTATGGTGGCATACATTTTTGCCTGTGACTCATAGTTTTTTGCATTTTTATGTCATTGAATTCCCCAATTATATCTTGTACTTAAAGATCATGTTTTCTTTGTTGGAAGTTCGCAATCCATCTCAAAGTAACAACATTGAGAACATAGCATTCTGGCGTTCGTGTAGGCACCTCACGGTGTTGAGGGACAGTGGTTTAGGTTTGTGTGGCGAACGACAATCACCCAACGACCGACGCTCACAACTTGGATCCCACCATTAACAAAAAGCAATATTATAGTTATATAACTTTTCAGATGTTTTTAATTCAGTATTTTTTTTAATATTCTTCCAAAATTCAACCACTATATTTCCCTAAAAATCAAATAATACCGGTTTTATGTATTTCCGTATTAAACCTGTAGTCAATTCATGTTCCAGGGCCACTTGCTTTAGCCGTGCATTATCAGCCAATATACCATGGATTGCATATGCAAATTTTGTGTTTGGACCAATCAAATCAATGGATTAACACCATCAATATACTGGTATAATATAATTGATAATATTTGTTACCAGCGAGTGTGTATTAAAAACTGCAAATAGCATATTTTTTTCACTATGTTGCCTCTGATAGGCAAAATCTCTCGGATTTAGTGATGCTGCACCCCTGAAAAATGTTCTTGTGGAATTTAATAACATAATAAAAATAATAATCGCACAGTAACATACGTATTTTACCGTTAATTGTTGATGAATTAATTTCTAGGTCAGTGTCACAGGTCATTTCGTGGTAACTTAACTCGAAAGTTTGGAGTGTATATTTTGCCAGTTTGTTTATTACGTTTAGTCATTTTGGCCAGAGATGACGCTGTCCGTATTTGATAGATTTGATATGTGTGAGCATTTGAAAATGAAATCTTCCAGAATAAATTAACATTATTATATTATTTCTCATTTTTATGCCATTTCGATATTCAAACTAAAAAACTAAGTAAAATGTATGTATCTAGTATAATTGTAAGTGTGTTATTTGTTATTTCGGCATTTCACAATTGTGAGAGATTGAAACGTGGGTATGAAATAAGTTTGTACCCAATGACTAACTAGCAATTTATTCATGATTCCACCCATAAACAGAAAATGTTGGTTATACACATGAAGATATAGAGGATCTCAAATATATTTCCATGTGACACGAGATTTGTTCAACTTAACACCTTGACAGCTGACAGCCTATATGTTGGTTACGGAGTAATGTGTTAATTTGCATATAATGCATAAACTCACTTATTGGTTATTTTACAAGGATATACAACTTTCCTCATAGTCATAATTTTCTGTATACATTTCAAGATAAAGATTTTGATAGAACCAGTCATCGAGAGATGTGGCTCTGATCGATCCAGTCATCAATAGACGTGGCTCTGATCGAACCAGTCAAGAGATGTGGCTCTGATCGAACCAGTAATCATGATACTTTGGGTAGGAAAATCCTTTCCAAGCTACACGTGCTTCTACCAGCTATAGTATCCTACATGGTGAAGTTGCCGAATCTCCATAGCTGTCTGTTGTTTGTCAAACCGTCATCTGTGCAAAATCCCTTGTCAACCAACATCTAGATATTAAATCGTGCTATACAACTAACATCGTCATATGGAACTTGGTCAACAAGTAAAGTAGTATTTGACGTTGTTATTCCTGTGTTATTCCTGAGTTCTCCGTTACTTCATTTAATTATTAATGTAATTATTGCTTTAATACCAATATATTATATATTTGATTTTGGCTGCCTTATATCTGTATTATGTTTGACATCTCTACCATGCTATAGTACCTCAAAGTAAGATTTACCTTGTTACAGTCAGTAATTGAGAGGGAATAATAGGCTGCTTCGGTGATTTAGACCAATTTGAAATTTAATATAACATGGTCAACAATTTTATGGGATATAATATTTCTCATGTTTATGCCATTTCGATATTCAAATTAAAAACAAAGTAAAATGTATGGAAATAGTATAATTGTAAGTGTGTTATTTCGGAGTTTCATAATTCCGAGAAATTGAAACGTGGGTATAAAATAAGTTTGTATCCAATGGCCAACTAGCAATTTATCCATAATTCCACCCATAAACAGAAAATGTTGGTTATACACATGAAGATATAGAGGATCTCAAATATATTTCCATGTGACACGAGATTTGTTCAACTTAACACCTTGACAGCTGACAGCCTATATGTTGGTCACGGGGTAATGTGTTAATTTGCATATAATGCATAAACTCACTTATTGGTTATTTTACAGGGATATACAACTTTCCTCATAGTCATAATTTGCTGTATACATTTCAAGATAAAATTTTTCTATTTATGAATGTTGGTCTGTTGGCTGATATAGCTCTAGTCTATACATTGTGTTTTACAATTGAAAATAGCATCAAATTAGAAAGTTAAAATTGTTACAAGTTGAAACAATCTGACCAAGATCCACCAAGGTTTTCTACACATGCATATTGCAGCAACTGGGCTAGCCATTTTCAAGATAAAGTCGAAAATAACATTTACTATAAATGACAAATATTCATTAAAATTACATAATTACAGGTAAAGTCACAAAATTAACAAACTGATTATGGTCAACTGGAGGTGTCATATGAAATATCAAAGCACACATGCTAGCGGTTTTCAAGAAGTCAAAGATCGCATTTGTGAACAGAAATTGATTTGAACATATCTAACATAGGTCAACCCATAGTACCTACATACCAAGTATCAAAGCTGGTAGATTTCGAGAAGTCTAAAATGCAATTATGCGCAGAGCACTGGTAATTATCTATATGAACAGCTCCACTCGACAGCAGAGCTAAGAAATATGGATGTCGGTCAGCCGTTTTGGTTCGAATGCATTTAGAACCTATTGTTTGGGCATATGTTACACAAAGTACTCGACACATGTGATGAGATTTGGTATAAAGGTTCTGTTCTCTGAATGAACAGAAGAAGACAATTAACCCTGATTTAAACTTCATTGACTAATGGCTTGAATTTTTCAATTCTAGATTAACTTATGGCATAATGTCAATCGACTACCATAACTGCTAGAATGTTATTGCTGACTCACAATTCTTACATATACATTCTCATACAAGAGGTTACACTACTGTATTCAGTATGGATCGGTAACACAACAAATTCTTTACCTTCTGATATATAGAAGTTTAATTACTTACCATCAAAGTATATACATGTTTTTCTGTAATGCATCCGTAATAAAACTTTGCAATTCATGCAAGGACGATGGCGTAATAATCTTCCAATGTGGTCAGGTACTATCTGCAGTTCATTTCCACATAATGATAACTCGTGTAAGGAAGGCAATTCTTCAATAATCTGCCATGGAAATTCCTTTAACTTATTGTTATTCAGTCGTAACAGTCTCAGCTTTAAATTCTTTATTCCTGATAAATATAAAGAATTTAGGATTTTATGACAGTTGACAAATTTTAAAAAAATACACAAAAGTTAGTTTTTTTTCAATAGTAAATTACTATTATATTTCTTTTTCAAATATTCTGACATTTTGTTTCAACGTGATTTAATTTGATTTATGTTAATAATAAAGTAAAAACATAAACCACTTGGTTCTTGTTAATTCTCTAAAGTCAGGTATGCAAATAGAGCAAATCTAAAGAAAACAGGTTAACTAAAGCCATTTCATATCTCATGTTAATGACTGCTTTTCAAAATGAGAATACTAGAACACTGTATGAGAAAGAAAACCAAGATCTTGTTCAGTTGAGTCAATAGAAACGTAAATGTCACCACAGTGAGTTAATCGTTTCAATGTATTTACACTGGCATTTATATTTTGATTATTCGGGTGACTTTCCCTTTCCCCGATAAAGCTCACAATATAATGTAACCTTCTCACTTCATTTCTGTATTATCTGGATTAAGTAAATTTGGATTAATAATTGTCCGTGAATATACATTTTGACCTTTGACCTATCTGTGAATGTTCTTCAGCCTGGAATGCTCATTAAGGTAGCAAAATGGTCTTTTTCGTCAAATTCTGGACAGTAAGAAAATTAATCAGAACATAATGGCTAAAACCTACCATATCTATACATTTCAGAAAAAACATTAATTTTGTCTGAAAGTTTGTTTTAGAGACACACAGATGAGATAAATGAGTAAATGGGTAAATGAATATTTGAGGACAAAATTATTTCTTTTCTTCAATTATTACAATGACAAGATTTTATCTAGTGAACTTGTATCAACATTACTTTTGTAGAATGAAAAATAAGAAAACTGTTTTAAAAAATTAAACATTTTTCAAACGTACAAGAATACTCTTGAATTCTAGCGAGAAATTAAATAATTCTGCAACGCAAGTGTCATTTACATTGTACCGGTAAATACAAATTCATTGAAACCACTTTGTATTTGTTTATAACAATGTTCATAGAATCAGTATCAGTTTTTAGTTTTGTCGACTGTTAATGTGCACAGAGAATTTGTTATTTTCTCGATATGTTTGTGGCACAGGTACAATACTTTCATACTCTTCTATTAATTGGTCAATCTTGGCTTACCTGATGGTATAGCAGTCAATGCATTGAACTCCATGTTAAGTTCTGTCAACTGTTCTAATGCACACAATGAATCTGGTATCTTCTCAATTTTATTTTCTGATAGATTCAATGTCTTCATACGCTTCAATTTACTAATCTCATCTGGTATAGAAGTCAATGCATTGCACTTCATGTTAAGTTTTGTCAACTGTTCTAATGCACACAATGAATCTGGTATCTTCTCAATGTTATTGTAATATAGTTTCAATATCTTCATACTCTTCAATTTACCAATCTCATCTGGTATAGCAGTCAATGCATTATACTTCATGTTAAGTTCTGTCAACTGTTCTAATGCACACAATGAATCTGGTATCTTCTCAATGTTATTGTAATATAGTTTCAATATCTTCATACTCTTCAATTTACCAATCTCATCTGGTATAGCAGTCAATGCATTGAGCCCCATGTTAAGTTTTGTCAACTGTTCTAATGCACACAATGAATCTGGTATCTTCTCAATTTCGTTTACATCTAGTTTCAATATCTTCATACTCTTCAATTTACCAATCGCATCTGGTATAGCAGTCAATGCATTATACTTCATGTTAAGTT